CGGCCCCACAGAAGCCCCTCTCGCCCACCACCCCATACCTGGGCCCAGAGCCTGGAACGGGACCCAGCTGTGACCCAGACCTCCTACACAGACCCCCGGCTTGCCTGGGGCCGGGCCAGCTGGAACGTAAGCCCCAACTTCCTGGTACTACTCTGCCCTTGGGTGGGTACGGTCCTGCCCCTGTGGTTTATAGCTCGGTTGCCAAGAACCGAGGCCAATTAAAGGTAAATAAGCCCCACTTGGTCTCGGTCGGGAGGTTCAGGCTGAGTGGATCTGTTCCGGGCCCAGGGCTCTGAGAGCTGGCTGCCCTGTGAAGGAGAGGGGCAATGGAGGAATACCCCCCTCCATACCGCCCTCCTTTCCCCAAAGTAACCTGCATCTTACAGTCTTCCAAGTCTGCGGGGAAATGGAATGCTTGTTACTGGGAGCCCAGCACTGTGCTGGGGAGGCTGGGGAGACTGCCATTCCCATGCCAGTCCTGAAGGGGGCGCTCTTCCCGCCGTTGTCCTGTGGGTTTGGGAGGTTTATTAGTTTGCTGCAGAACACAGGGATGGTGACTCCAGAGCCCCCGCTCTTCCCTGCCGAGCTCAGCCCTGGGCCGGGAGCCCTTTCTTGCAGCCTCCCTCACTGTGCCTGCAGCACCCACAGCCCCCCTCTCCCTCCTCGTCAGGAGGCTTTGTAACTGCAGCCCTGAGACCTGGCTGCACCCTCAGGCTGGGACTTCCCAGAGGCACTTGTCATGAAAGCCTCTGTTGTCACAGCTGAAACCCTCCCCCTGCCCCAGAGGCCCCTGGTATGTGGCTGAGGGCGGGGCCTGGGGCCACACAGGTGGGGTGGGTGACTGGGTCACAGGTCTGGGTGCTGGGAATGAAGCAGTCCTTTGTGTGTGTGAGTGGCGCAGAGAGGGGACACTTGTGCCTCAGCCTGGCCTGAGAGCTGAGACTAGGGGTTGACACAAGTGGCTGCTGTAGGGAAATGGGAGACAGGGAGAGAGAGAAAGGGGGAGGGGGCTTGGGGGCAAGGCCTTTCCATCTCTGCTGGTTACCTGGCAACTGCAGTTCGCAAAGCACTTCCTGTCAAGTATATGGCTCCATCCCGGGGAGTCAGACGGGGCAGGAGTTAGTCCTGCTTCCTGGATTGGCAGACTGAGGCTCGGAGAGAGGCGGTGCGATGACCCAGGGCCACACACCTAATAGATGAGAAAGAAAGAATTCAAAGGGAGGTCCCTGGGCCCCAGGTCATGTGTTCTGTCCCTAGCACCTACCCTTGGGAGTGGGTGGAGGTGGGTAGCGGCCACCAAATGCTGACTGTGGCCCTGTAGCTGTGTCCGGGTCATGGCCTAGCTTTCTTCTTTTTCTTTTTATTGCAGTAAAATAAGTAACATGCATCTTACCATCTTAACCATTTTTAACTGTACAGTCCAGTGGTATTAAATACATTCAAATTGTTGTGTTACCGTCACCACCATCTATCCTCATAACCCTTCCCTCCTGACTCTTGTAAAACAGAAACTCTGTACCTATTAAACAATAACGCCCCATTCCTGCCTCCTCCCCACCCTGCCAGCCACAACTCCACTTTCTGCCTTCATTATTTTGTAAATACCTCATAGAAGTGGGAAAGAGGCCCACTTTTGAATCAGAGGTCTATATATATATATATATATATATATATATATATATATATATATATATATTGATTTCAGAGAGGAAGAAAGATGGAGAGATAGAAACATCAATGATGAGAGAGAATCATTGATTAGCTGCCTTCTGCACATCACACATTGGGGATCGAGCCCACACCCTTGGGCATGTGCCCCAACCGGGAATTGAACCGTGATCTCCTGTTTTCAGGCCCATGTGCAACCACTGAGCCACAGTGGCCAGACATCAGAGAGGTTTGATCACACCTAAAGGAGCAGCCCAGCTCTCGGGACAGCCTGTCTGCCGTGGACAAAGTTCTGAAACTGGCACAGCCTCCTGGGCAGGCTACACTCTGGACTGCGCCAAACAGCACTCACAGGAGCCATTGGGACTGAACTGGGGATCTGCACGTGCCTGAGAGTGGAGGGAAGGCTGCCTGAGGGGCTGCTGAAGGGGAGTGGGGTGCAGAAGAGGGGCTGGCTAAGGTCCAGCCCTCCCTCCCCCGGGGTGATGGCGTGTAATTGTTCCCGTGTTAATTGCTGGGGCCGTAATGTCTGCAGAGGCCCTAATGAGTGATGGCAGGTCTGACTTGGATTATTTTTCTTTTGGAGAAAGACAATGTTCCTCCACCCACGAGACAATACCGCACTGTCCGGGCCCTGAGCTCGGAGCCCGCTCACTGTGAGGCTGTGGTCCCCTCCCACCATCCCAACTCAGAGGCAGGGATCTGGGGTCAGTGGGAGGACTGACCCTCTATTCTGTCCTCAGAGTGTCAGAGGGCCATTTGAGTTCTGGCATGTCCCTCACTAGCTGTGCCGCCTTGCCCAAATCACTTTCCCTCTCTGAGCTTCAATTTCATTCCTTCTGAAACAGGACAAGGGATCATCTCCTGTGAGCTGAGGATTAGGGGAGATGATGGGTCAGGGGGGGTGATGGTTCAGGGGGGGTGATGGGTGAGGGGAGGTGATGGGTGAGGGGAGGTGATGGGTGAGGGGAGGTGTTGGGTGAGGGGAGGTGATGGGTCAGGGGATGGGATGGGTCAGGGGGATGTTGGGTGAGGGGAGGTGTTGGGTGAGGGGAGGTGTTGGGTGAGGGGAGGTGTTGGGTGAGGGGAGGTGTTGGGTGAGGGAAGGGGATGGGTCAGGGGAGGGGATGGGTCAGGGGGATGTTGGGTGAGGGGAGGTGTTGGGTGAGGGGAGGGGATGGGTCAGGGGAGGGGATGGGTCAGGGGGATGTTGGGTGAGGGGAAGTGTTGGGCGAGGGGAGGGGATGGGTCAGGGGAGGGGATGGGTCAGGGGGATGTTGGGTGAGGGGAAGTGTTGGGTGAGGGGAGGTGTTGTTTGAGGGGAGGTGTTGGGTGAGGGGAGGTGATGGGCCAGGGGAGGGGATGGGTCAGGGGGATGTTGGGTGAGGGGAAGTGTTGGGTGAGGGGAGGTGTTGGGTGAGGGGAGGTGATGGGTGAGGGGAGGTGTTGGGTGAGGGGAGGGGATGGGTGAGGGGAGGGGATGGGTCAGGGGAGGGGATGGGTCAGGGGGATGTTGGGTGAGGGGAGGTGTTGGGTGAGGGGAGGTGTTGGGTGAGGGGAGGTGTTGGGTGAGGGGAGGTGTTGGGTGAGGGAAGAGGATGGGCCAGGGGAGGGGATGGATGAGAAGGCGCGTGTTAACCGTGAAGTGTGCGGTGGCAGGCAGGGGTGACTGTGACGATGGCAACAGTGAACGGCCTGCATTGCCACAGGCGCTGGGAGGATGTGGAAGAGCGAAGCGGCTCATGGGGCAGGATCTGCCGGGGACAAACTCCCTCCCCGCGAGGCTAGTCTCAGCGATGGACCTTCCCCCCCTGTGGCCCCTCAGAAAATGGGTTACTAGGAGGGGACCGGTGGGGCCTCCTGGGTCTCAGGGCTTCCCCAAAACTGGGAACTGAAGGACATTGGGACTTAAAGATTTTACACGCTGTCACTGACAGAGGCAGGATTTGAACCTTGACCCCCCAAGGGGCCCCTGAGCCCTGTGTACAGCCCTGGCAGCTCCCCTCCCTGCTACTCCCCCCCCCCCCCCATTCCAGTTCAGGCTTGCTTACTTCCCCAGCCCCGTTCTTTCTCTGTCCCAGAGCCAAAGTCATGCCTCCAAGTGCCACTGCCCTCAGCGCTCAGGTACCCATGGAAAGCCAGGCCCCCGCTGGAGGCAGAGCGGGGGGGGGGGGGGGGGGGCCCTCTCTGGCCTCAACATCCTGCTCAGGGAGGCGGTGCCTCTGCCTCAGGGTCTCAGGCTGCCTGCCAGGCGCCCCTGTAGCCTCCCTCCCCCCCCCACAGCCCCGGCACGCAGAGCCCTCGGGGCACGGCCCCCCCTCACCTGTGCGGCGTGGCAGGGCGCACGGAGGCCGTGGCGTTCACCTGGCGCCGCTCGCTGTGCAGGGACATGCCTCTCCCCGAAGGTGGGGGCTTCCTGAAACGCGCCCCGGTCTTATCTGCCGAGGTCTGCCCCAACGTGTCCTGGGAGTAAGCAGCGTTCCGGGGACATGTGTGGCTGGCAGGGGGGCGGGAGCATCAGCCCTGCGCCTGCTGGCGTTTGAGAGGGCGCCAGCGCCTGGGCCGGGGCTCGGGGAGGGTGCGGGAGGGTCCTTCTGCACCATCAGGGTAGGGACGGATGCTGTCCTTGCTGATCACAACTGCAACTTGACTCAATACCCCACCCCACTGTCCTCAGCCAGTCCCGGTCCCCATGGGCCCCACATCCCTCCCTGCACCTCTGCCCACTGACCCCCCGGGAGCCACGGATCTCCCGCAGCCCTGCAGGCACTCACCTGGGGCCTGGGAGCTGGACAGGTGGCGGGAGGCATCAATTCGTCAGGAGCAGCGACTACGGGTACTGAGAGCAGGTAGCTGGCCACCGAGGGGCGAGGGGCCTGGGCTGGGGGCAGCCGAGAAGGCCAGCGGAGGGCAGAGCTGGCCTGAAAGGTTCTAACTGTGTGCGATTCGACATTGCTCCCTGCTACTCCATGCATTGAACCTGGAGAGCAGAAAGGAACCTGAACTCCAAGTGTTAAAACCATGGCCCGGGGCAACACCACCATTCCTTCTGAATCATCTCTTTTGTTGCATTTAAAAAAAAAAAAAAAAAGAATGAAAGAACAACTCCACACCAGCCACATGGAGGTGTGCGGGCAGCTGTGTTTGTCAGGAATGCAGGAGGACTTGGCTCTCCTTCGGGGGAGGAGCCGTAAACCCACAACACCCTCCGAGGGGTGCATATAAGGAGCCCAGGTCCGGGGGTGCCAGGAGCAGCTCTCTGGTCTCAGGGCAGCCTGTACCCCCCACCGGCATCTCCTGCGCTTGCCGCTCTCACGGGCAGCCGCCTGGCCATGAGCACCACGTTCCTGCAGACTTCCTCCGCTTTTGGGGGTGGCTCTTCCCGGGGGGGTGCCCTCCGGGGTGGGGGCGGTGGCTTCGGCGGGGGGAGTCTCTATGGGGGTGGCGGGAGCCGAAACGTCTCGGCTTCGTCTGCGAGGTTCGTCTCCTCGGGGTCTGGAGGGGGCTACGGGGGCGGCATGAGCTCTGGCTTTGGTGGAGGGGCCGGCGGTGGCTTCGGGGGTGGCTATGGCGGGGGTTTTGGCGGTGGCTTTGGGGGTGACTTTGGTGGTGGCGATGGCGGCCTCCTCTCCGGCAACGAGAAGATCACCATGCAGAACCTCAACGACCGCCTGGCCTCCTACCTGGACAAGGTGCGCGCCCTGGAGGAGGCCAACGCCGACCTGGAGGTGAAGATCCGGGACTGGTACCAGAGGCAGAGCCCGGCCAGCCCGGAGCGCGACTACAGCCACTACTTCAAGGCCATCGAGGAGCTAAGGGACAAGGTGGGTCCTGGGGGTCAGGGGGAGGGGGCGGGTGGCTGGGCCCTGCCCACACCTCTGCTATCCGCAGGAGGAAATCCTCTCCTGCCCGGGCCATGCCTGCCAGGGGGTGACCTTGGCAAACTTGGGGCCCAGGGAATAGCTCTCAGGCATGGACGCCGGCCTCCATCCCCTGGGCAGTGCTGGCCAGTCCTGGGATCTGGTCAGGACCACTGGGGGCCAGGGTGGGAGCAGTGACAGAAGGCAACCTGCTCTCCCTGAACCACACGCCCTGGAGAGCAGGTGTCCTGCCTCTTCCCCGAGGATGATGGATACAGCGGCAGGAGGCTGAGTGCAGGGCTTCCGGCCACGCCCTCCGAGGATGGCGTTGGTGCCAACAGCACTATCGGGACTTAGGAGCCCTGGGACTCTCTGCTGCCCACTCACTCACCCTGCTGCTCACCGGGGTGGTTTTCTCAGCTGTGAGATGCCCTCCTCAGCTGTGCCTCCTACTGGCCGGGTGGCCCTGCAGGTCCTTGGCTGGGTCAAGGTGGGCAGGAGCCAGTGACTCCGAGCTGTCCAAGGAGAGGCGGGAGGACGATCCCTGAGAAGGCCATTGTCAGAGTCCCACTCCCCACCCCCCACCTCTCCTCCCTCCCGGCCAGGCTATTCCCATAGGGGGTGCCAGGCAACCCTTGTTCCTTGGTCTCCCATGCCCCCGAGACAGGGGCAGATCAAGTAGTGGGCACCTGGGATAAGGGTGGACTTGGCCCCAGGGGCCTGACAGGTTTCTGTTGGTGGTGGCAGAGGAGAGATCATCCCCTGAGGTGGGGGGACAAGGGGGGATGGTTACCTGGGGCACAGGATGGGGAGAGCAGCAGAGAAGAGCGGGATCCTCTTGGCACCAACCGGCTGTCTCCTACAGATCCTGGCAGCCACCATCGACAACTCCCGGGTCATCCTGGAGATTGACAACGCCAGGCTGGCTGCCGACGACTTCAGACTCAAGTGTGTTCCTGCCCCCCCCCCCCTTTTTGCATTCCCCCCCTTTTCTTGGCCTCCCTCCTTCCCAACTCAAGCAGCCCAGCCCAGACCCCTTGCCCTTCCTTAGCGCAAGCTCCCTCTCTCTTCCCAGGTACGAGAACGAGCTGGCCCTGCGCCAGAGCGTGGAGGCGGACATCAATGGCCTGCGCCGGGTGCTGGACGAGCTGACCCTGGCCAAGGCCGACCTGGAGATGCAGATCGAGAGCCTGAACGAGGAGCTGGCCTACCTGAGGAAGAACCACGAGGAGGTGAGGGCGGGGAGACCAGTGTTGGGGCCGCTGGTGCCTCCTCATAGTTGTCAGAAGGGCTTAGTGGTTCAGAAATGCACCCCATAAACTCCAAAACAGGGGTTCCCACGGAGGAGGAGAAGGGCACCGTTCTCTGGGAACCCAGACCCCTTTCCTCGCTCATCCATAGCCAGACCGGGTGGCCCGTGGGAACTGCTGTCCGGATCTGCTTCATGGGCTCATGCAAGGGCCCTGCTGTGTTGAGGTTCCCCCTTGAGGGCACTAGAGAGGAAGAGAGACCCTCAGAGCTGAGGGCCCGGGCCATCAGACCTCCTCCTGCGCAGTGGCAAGCAGGTTGGGTGGGTCCCGGGAGAGCCACGGTCACGCGGTGAGTTAGGGACCCAGCAGGATTGGCACGTGGGGCTCCAGACTCTCTGCTCTCCTCCCCTCTGTCGCCGCCCTGCAGGAGATGAAGGAGTTCGGCAGCCAGGTGGCCGGCCAGGTCAACGTGGAGATGGACGCGGCCCCGGGCGTGGACCTGACCCGCGTGCTGGCCGAGATGCGAGAGCAGTACGAGGCCATGGCCGAGAAGAACCGCCGGGACGCTGAGGCCTGGTTCTTCAGCAAGGTGCCCGGCCCACCCGGCCCGCCCCAGCTCCCCACGTCTCCCAGGACGCCCACAGGGCTCACTTCTCTGGGTGTGACCCGCAGACCGAGGAGCTGAACAAGGAGGTGGCCTCCAGCACGGAGATGATCCAGACCAGCAAGACGGAGATCACAGACCTGAGACGCACCATGCAGGGGCTGGAGATCGAGCTGCAGTCCCAGCTCAGCATGGTGACTCCCTCCTCCCCCTCCCTCTGCTCGCAATCCTAGTCTTTTCTACCCTTCCTGGCAGATAAAGCCTTGGTGTTCCCAACCCCCACAGAGGAGGGTCCCTGCGTTCCCTCAGCACTCCTCCCTGTGCCCCTGGTGCTTCCTTCTGGCCCGACATGGCGCCTGTTGGTCTGCTGCCCCCTAGAAAGCCGGGCTGGAGACCTCGCTGGCCGAGACGGAGTGCCGCTATGCCACGCAGCTGCAGCAGATCCAGGGGCTGGTCAGCAGCCTGGAGGCCCAGCTGGGCGAGCTCCGCAGCGAGATGGAGGCTCAGAACCAGGAGTACAAGCTCCTGATGGACATCAAGACGCGGCTGGAGCAGGAGATCACCACCTACCGGAACCTGCTGGAGGGCCAGGATGCCAGGCAGGGCGGGGCGCAGGGGGAGGGAGGGAGGGAGGAGGAAGAAGGGGCCAGTTTTGGTCGGGGCAGAATGCCATCCCGGGAGTTGAAAGCACTACAGTGAGCGAGGATGGACGAGAGGCAGGGCTCTGGCTTCTGCACACTGCTCTTTGGCTGTGACCTTGGGCAGGCCTCGTCCCTTCCCTGGACCTGTGAGTCTTCTGTCCACGGCGGCTGCTGGCTTCCATCTGTGCATGAAGCAGATGGGGTGCTATTGCAGACCAGCATCTGTCTGCGCGGGGGTGGCATGTCGGGACCAGCTCTCGGCCTCCAGAGGAGTCAGATGCGGGGGTGGTGGATGCAGGGGGCCGGGGAGGACCCCTGAGCCTTTGCTTACATCTGCTTCCTCCTCTTTCAGGATGGCTGGCGTTGGCACCAGAGAAGGTAAGAAGGCTTCGCTCTTCCTGAGTGGCTAAGCCCCCATTCCCGTTGGGATGGGAGGAAGGAGAAAGAGGCCAAGCATTCCAGTAGGGTGGAGACACACCTGTTCCAGTTGATACCTCTTCCCTGGGGGGGACCCTCTAGCAGTCCCGTAGCGCTGGGGTTGAAGGTTTAAGGAGAACCTCCCAGGCTGAGCAGGCTCTGTCGAGCACCTCGCTCCCCCAGGCCCCACGTCCCTTAGGCTGAGAGGCCCAGGATGGCTCCCTGGTCACGTGCAGTTAAAACCCGGCATCCATGCTCGCTGCCCGGCACCTGCCGCTGCCACGGCCCTTCCCTGCGACGAGCCATTCAGCCGGAGGAGGGGCCCGCGGCCGCTCTCAGGGCGCTGCCCCGTACTCCCGGAACTCAGGCGAGGTCCCGGCCTCCCGGGAGTGGAGGGGGACAGGGAGGCCCCCACTCTAATGCGTGCCCCTTCTTTCTAGCCTCTCTGGGCGGCAGCGGCGGCGGCAGCAGCAAACTCCACATCAACGTGGAGGAGTCGGTGGACGGGAAGGTGGTTTCTTCCCGCAAGAGGGAGGTCTGAGTGCCCTGGGCAGGAGCAAGGCCTCCCAGGCCTCCTCCCAGCTGATGGAGGACCGCCAGCGGGCGGGATAAGCCCTCACTTCTGCCTTCTGAGGTGCCAGCGCAAGAGGGCCCTGTTCTCCTAGCGGGGAGCTTCGCTTGCTCTACACCGCCCCCCCAACCTCTAGCTCCCCCCCCACTGCAACCCCCAGCTTCCCCCAACCTCCAGCCCCCCCAACCTCCAGCTCCCCCCCAACCTCCAGCTCCCCCCAACCCCCAGCTCCCCCCAACCCCCAGCTCCCCCCCAACCCCCAGCTTCCCCCAACCTCCAGCTCCCCCCAATCCCCAGCTCCCCCCAACCTCCAGCTCCCCCCCAACCTCCAGCTCCCCCCAACCCCCAGCTCCCCCCAACCTCCAGCTCCCCCCCAACCTCCAGCTCCCCCCCAACCCCCAGCTCCCCCCAACCCCCAGCTCCCCCGAATCTCCAGCTCCCCCCCAACCTCCAGCTCCCCCCAATCTCCAGTCCCCCCAACCTCCAGCTCCCCCCCAACCCCCAGCTCCCCCCAATCTCCAGCTCCCCCCCAACCCCCAGCTCCCCCCCAACCTCCAGCTCCCCCCCAACCTCCAGCTCCCCCCAACCCCCAGCTCCCCCCAACCCCCAGCTCGCCCCAACCTCCAGCTCCCCCCAACCTCCAGCTCCCCCCAACCCCCAGCTCCCCCCAACCTCCAGCTCCCCCAACCCCCAGCTCCCCCCAATCTCCAGCTCCCCCCAACCTCCAGCTCCCCCCAACCTCCAGCTCCCCCCAACCCCCAGCTCGCCCCCAACCTCCAGCTCCCCCGCCTCATTTGTGTAAAAGGCCATCCCCACGGGGTGGTGTCTGGCCAGGCAATAAAATCCGCTTTCCTTTTCTAAGTGTCTCTTGGTAGTGCGTCCAGTTTTTCCTGGTGGGGCCTCTGGGGAAGCCTGGGATCTTGGTGGTAATTTCACTTTTTTTAATTTTTATTACTGCAATACAAACTTTTATTTAAATAAGAAAAGGAGTTTTTGTACAAATATTACTCTTCAGATGCAGCCCACAGAGCCATAGCTATGGATGCTTCGTTCTGTGAGGAAGTGCTTCTATAGATTTTTAGGTTTAGAGATGATACCGTCTGGATACCTTTGCTTGAACTGGGCAACCACATCTGGATCTAGTAGGTGGATCCCTACTGGATCCAGCTGGTTCCCGAGGGTGATCCAGTTGGGTTGCACTTTGTGAGGTCGTCCAAACAATTCAACCTTGTGAGTGCCAGGGGATAATTCATTCTTTGGGGTGCCCAGGGCCCGGGACACAGCCATGCCGCCCGGGTCACGTGCTGTTCCGATCACCTCCGTTGGGGGATTGTGGGAGCAGGACACGGGGTGGATGGGTGAGGAGGTGCTTCCCCCATGCGGTTTTGGGAACTGAGCACGGAACTTGGCATAGCAACTAGCTAGTGTTTTTATATACACTGTTTTTATTTTTTATTTTTGTCCCCTATGAAAGGAATAAACATGATTTATGTAAAACTGTCGGCTAATTACTTACCGCGTGACTGGTGCACGGAGTGTATGGGGTCCCTGCTGTGCGGTGCGGTCGGCACTGTGCTGGGCACACCCACCCACGGGGCCCCTGGAAGGCAACGCAGGGCGGTCAGGGTTGACTCCTCTCGTCTTAGAGATGGGGAGACGTGGAGATGAGGGAGTGGGGGAGAGGCAGGACCTGCCCAGGGGCCTCACGGTTGAATTTAAAGTAAGCAGCAGGGTTAGGGCTGAGCCCTGAGTTTGTGTGACTCCAAGACCAGGGCTTCCTCTGGGCCTCAGGCCCCAGCCCTTCCCTGTTCACTGCCGGGACCCGCCTCCACCACAGGTGCTATTTGAACCTCCCTCCTTCCCTGCCAGGCGCACCTGACCTCCAGGTGGAGAGCCGTTCCCAGCTCTGCCCCTGAGAGCCAACTCCTCTGCACAAAACACTTCAAGTGCCCAGAGAGAAAAAACCAAAACACCAGCTCCAGGAGGGCCTCCCTGATTTCCCCAAGCTTACCTCCAAAGCAACACCAGCACCCCCTGCCCACCTCTGTCCTGACCCCAGCGTCTCCACACCCCGGCCCATGAGAGCCGCGGCAAGCACACACACCTGATTTATGGCCTGTGGTCTGGGGCCGGTGCCTCCGGGGCTCTCAGCCCTGGAGAGAGGGCAGGGAATGAGGAAGTGGAGACCTCTGGGTGCCATGGCTGGGCTGGGTCAGTGGGGAGAGGGAGAACTGGTTTCTTAGCCTGCTGGGAAGAGCAGGTGTGTGTGTGTGTGTGTGTGTGTGTGTGTGTGTGGAGGTTCAACTCTGTAATCCTGAGAATCAAATCATTTTGGGGAAGAGCCAAGCCCTCTGAGAGGGGGCCCCTGGGTCTCGCTGCATCAAAGCCCTTGCCCGGCAGCTCTGGGTGGAGAGAGCTGGCTGCTGTGCTCTCTGGGGGAGATGTAATCTAGAACGTGCCTCCCGAGTACACCCTTCCCCTGGGGCTGGAGGAAGGAAACACAGTTTATGAAGCGCCTACGCCGGGCCGGGCCAGGCGCTCCACAAATGGCATCTCCTCTCCCAGCAGCGGGGTCCGCCCGCAGCGTCTGTTTCCAGGAACGGAACCCGAGGCCCAGGGAAGTTAGTAACCGGAGCAAAGTCTCGGGCTGGGAGATAGGGAAACGGAGTCTGGAATTGCCTCTGATTCCAGACCCTGGCGACACAAGGGTGACAGACGGAGGACACACCTTTCTTACCGGGATGTGCCCATCGGAAACCCACTTCTTAACCTCTGGGCGGCCGGGTCGAGCCTCCTACGGCCGCTGTGGCCAGAAAGATGGCTCCCGCCTCTAAGCTCAGTCTCTCAGGCTGTGGTTAGGCTTATGCGGAGGCCCACGGCGCCGGGGGCCAGGTCCCCAGCCTCCTGGGACAGCCAGGCGCCTTGCTGGTCTGAGACTCTCAGACCCAGCGGCCTGGCTGCTCCTGCCTCACCGCCTCTGGCCTCTGTGGAGACGTCTTGGGCCCTAAGCAGTCAGCCAAGGCGTTCTCAGCCTTTACTCTGTAAGAGTAATGACCTCCTACAAGCTGCAGAGAGGCAGGTGGGGCCTGGCCCCCGAGCTGCTGGAGGGGGAGGGAGGCTGTCTCTCTCTCTTTCCCTGTAGCACCGGGTCCTGTTCTGCTGAGGCTCCAGGAGGGCCGTCAGGGAGGCCCTGGGACTTGCCAAGCCCTGGCCCCTGCCTGACCCTGGAGTGAGCTGCCCATGCCCAGGGGTAGCTCCTGGCAGGCCCAGCCCTTAAATAGTCTCTGCTGAGAGGGCCTGCCTCCTGCCTGCCCCTGGGCTGAGGTGGGGCTTGGCCTCCAGCCAATGTGAGCTGCAGGCACAGGGATGTGGGATTAGGGCCTGGGTGTGGCCTTGGCTCGGGGTGGGCTACCTAGAGCAGGTGTGTGATGTGCCTGCCACTGTCCCCTGAGGACTTCGCTGGTCCTTGTCCCTCTCCGGGCCTCTGGGTCCCCATCTTTAAATAGAGGAGTCTGGCTGGACTCGGTGGTTTGGGAGGTCTCTGTGAGCTGGGACTCAGGGGAAGCGGACTGTGGGACCTGGGACAGCGGGGCCATGTCTGCTCTGGGCCGGCTGTGTCCTCAGAGGGGGCGCTAAGAAGATCCTGACCTAAGGCATGCCCTGCTTTCCTCTGCTTTCCTGGCTCAGACCCGGCTCTGGCTGTTTGATAGCTTGGGCGTGTGCCCGCCTGGAGCTCACCTGGCCCTCCGTGGGCAGCTGGTGGCACAGAGGAAATGAGAAGCTGGAGGTAGTTGCCCAGCTGGTGAGGATCAGCAGTAGAGCATCGACCCAGGAACCAGAAGGCCATCAGTTCCATTTCCGGCAGGGCACCTGCCCACATTACAGGCTCAATCCCCTGGGTGTGTGTGTGTTCGCGCGCAGGAAGCAGCCAATTGATGATGTTTCTCTCTCATCAAAGTTTCTCTCTCATCCATGTTTCTGTCCATCTATCTCCCTTCCTCTCTCTCTAAAAATCAATTAAAATATTAAAATAAAATAAAATAAAATAAGAAGCTATACAATAAAAAAAAAAATAAAGAAAAAGAAAAAAGAAGCTGGCAATTTTCCCCTGAGATGTAGAGCTGGGGTGACCCCACTGGATACCACCCCTGATTTCCATCCTTCTCACCCCACACCAGCAGACAGCGTTAGACAGGCTGACCCCTCGGGCATCAGCTGCACCGGCTTTGCCACTGTGGGGAGCAGGACCACCCACCAGCTGGGCCTGGGGGGACGGGGACCTGAGAATGGAGAGGTCAACAGAGGACACCCCTGTTTGGATAGGATGGCATTAACACTGGCCTAAAGGGGCTTGCCAGGCAGTGGTTTAAGGGCACACAGGCCCTGCAACCAGAGGTTTAAATCTTGACTCTGACACAATTGAGTTTGGACAATGCATTTAACCTCCATGGGCCTCAGTTTCCTCATCTGAAAAAAGGGTATGATAAAAACAGGCAAGTTGCTTTTTTTAATTTTAATTTTATTTATTTATTTTTTTTGCTCTGTGTTACATTTATATATATATATATATATATATATATATATATATATATATATATATATATTTATATTTATTTATTTTTTAAATTTAAATGCTTTATTATCTAAAGTATTACATAAGTCTTTTCCCCGCCATTGACCTCTCCCTGGCTGCCCCCACATCCCATAGTCAAGTTGTTTTGCAGTCATGCATGTAGAGTTTAACCCAGCATTCAAGAAATGTTAACTAGTGTTATTTTATTATCTTTAAACATATGTAGAATGGAACACACAGAGATCATTCACGGAGTTCACAGAAGTCTCTACGACAATATCAGGTGGGGTGGAGAGAGCCAGAGGCCAAGTTTAAATCTTGACTTCATGGTGACCTTGGCCAAGTGGCTTGGTCTCCCTGGACCTCAGTGGCCTCATCTATAAAATGGGCCCATAAGCAGCCTCTTTGGTCGTTGTATGGACTCAGCGGGTTTAGTGCAGCCTCAGGTGCAGGGGGTGCTCATGTACCAGCTTTCTCTCTCCTTCCCTGGAAGAGTCCTGGGCAGGGGGCTTTCACCAGAAAGCAAAACCAAGAGCTCAAGACCAGTGAGCAGTGCCTCAGCCCGCACTCCGTCCTGTGCTGTTAGAACCGGGACCTCTGCCCGGCTTCCCACAGGAGGGCTCAGCTGCTCCCTGGGGGTCAGAGGTCCGCATTCCTGTGTCAAGTCCCACTGGGGAGGGGAGGGGTGTGTAGGGCGGTGGCCTGGTCAGGCAGGGGGGCATGTGTGTGCTGCTGGGCTTTGCGGGATCTGAGGTATTGTTCCTCCAGAACCTGCTCAGCAGCCCCGGGGAGGTCATCACTCGGGCCTGGCAGGTTCCATTAATCACCTTTTTGTCAGTTCTGATCCTCTATTGAGTGAGCCAGAGCTCCTGGTTTGGGCTGAATCAAACCCTTGCAGAGGGAGAGCTGAGCCATCAGTTTGGGGCAGAAGGGCGGGGCCAGGTCAGGGGTCGGCGCATCTCGGGGTTCACCAGGGCTTTGGGCACCTGCAGCACTCCCTGGCTCTCTCCCTGGTGCTGACAGCCGCTGGGTAGAGCACAGGCCGCTTCCCCACCTGCAGCAAACAAAGGCGAGCGAGCCCTGACTCACAGCCCTCGCTCCTGGTCTTGCTGAATCAGCCAGGATCTTCTACATCTGGGCCACCCTACCCGGCCCTGGCCAGGTCCCATGCAGACCCCCTGGCAGGTGCGGCCAGAACCCTGGCCCCTTGGTGAGTGGGGCTGCGAGCCTGAGTCCCGGGCCCTCCATTCTCAGACCCGGAACCTCCTCCCTCTATCCGGGCTCTGGGTGGTCACCTCAAGGCCCTTTCCTTCCCACCTGGCAGAGTTACTAAGCGCAGTTGAGTTTCAGCCACTTGTCAGAGAGACCCTGACCCCAGGTCCTGGGTCACATTCTCCAATGTGGTCTCTTGGTCAAGCACTCACCATCTGAGACAGATGTCACGTGGTTAGGGGACTGGACAGGGCCCCGCTCAGGTACTGCAAGGCCGGCCTTCTGTCTGGGCAGCTAGGGCAGCTGGTAGAATGGAGTCATGAAACACCCAGGCCGGGCTGATCCAGGGCTTCTGAACCCCGGATCAGCTGATCAATGATTCTCCCTTATGACTGATGTTTTTTTTCACTCTCTCCCTCTCCCTTCCGCTCTGAAATCAATAAAAATACATTTAAAACACATTAAGCAGGACACATGATTTGTACATTTTATTTTATGAAAA